AAAAAAAAATTAATTACATGATAAGAAAATGCATGTAGACACAACCCTAAAGGAATTTTGCAAATCATCACCCTTTTTCAACCTTTTGAAACTGCAAAGTTGAATTTGATTGAAAATATGTTATTATTATGTTTTGTACTAAGGGTGACCCAATTGTGAAAAAAAAAAAAAAGAACAAGTATATATAATTAAATCTTTCCCCTGTCAAATAAATAAATATTTTATTTCAGCACATAAAATCTAATTCATAAAATATATTATTGAGGCTATTTCTTTAGATTTTTTTAATTGAAATTTAAAGATCCTATAAGAACGCTATTTTTTTTTTTTTTACCAACGATTTATAGTTGGAAGAAATTTTGTTGGAATATATAATTTCTGCTGAAATAGTTGGTTTAATTTTCCAACGATAATTCCATCCGTTGAAATCGTCTAGTTCAAAATGGTAATTTAAATTTCTGTCGAAATATATTATCGTTGAAATATGATCACTGTTTTCTTGTTTGCACTTCTTTTTTTGTTTGTTCAAGAGGAAAAATGTTAAAAGAAGCCTATTATTCATGGATAAATAGATGCATGCAACAATAAGTGAATAACCAATAATTGAATATTTGATGATGCATGCACATTTGATCAATTCAAAACTATCACTCCCAAATATTAAAACCTATATATTCATGGATAAAAATAGATGCATGAACCAATTAATCACCTAATATCCAACTAATCAATACTAATAGTTAATAATGATAACATAATTAATTTGCAACATCTAACTAATAAACACATGATTATTATTAAATTATTAATTATTAAGTGGACAAACAAACCTCAACAATGTCTCCTAGGTTAACAACAAATGCATTTGGTAAGAACTTCACCGGCATCCAAACACCATCTTTTTTCACCTTCAAACCTTCAACTCCATTAACCTGCAAAAGTATGGTAATTCCACTCCCATCCGAATGTGGCGTTAGCCCGTGAACTTTTTCCGGCTGGGGACATGGCGGGTAATAAGTCATTCTCATCGCCTGCATCCCGTTTTCGAACATCTCTTCAACTTCCTCTTTCTCGATCTTTAACGCCTCGGAAATCAAACCAAATACAGCCGAGGCAAGTTTTTGTAACTCACAAATGTAAGCTTCTAGGGTTTCTCTACAAAAGCAAATAGTCCGAGTTTTCAATCTCATAATTCAGTACGATTGCAAATATATCGAAATGACTGACTAATTGTATAACATCAAATGTAATACTATACTGCAGTATTACATTTGGATGTTAATTTAGGTCCCATTAAATACCAAAATCGGTAAATATATTACTATATATCTAAGGTATTTAGATTTTGACCTAACTAATAGCCTCCAAATAATTTAAGTTTCACGCATAAAATACTAATTTCAGTACTAAGGTTTGTTTTGCACGGCAGTGCTTGCCATATGACTATATGCAACTATAAAAAAATGATTACGTACACTAACTAATATCGACATGTAGTGAATGAAAAAAAAAAAAAAAATCCAACTTTTGCTACTTTTTTTTTTTTCTTTGAGATAAGATAGATATATATTATTGCCTAAATTACAAAATATACTCACTATTTTGTACGAGCTGGTAATAATAGCGGTCATCTTTATGAATTGATACATGTATCCAACAACTTTTAAAATTTCGGAGTTATTAACCAAATTCGACTGATAAATTGCAAAAAATAACCAGTATCTTTTTACGCTATGACAATAATAGCCGTTGAATTTGGTTGGACTTGTGTAATAACTCCGAATTATAAAGTGTGCTAGCTATTATTGCCAGTTCGTAAAAGATGGTGGTTATTTTGGCCACCACGTACAAAATACTGACTATATTTTACATTAAACCTATATTATTCATAGTTTTTAAACTCGGCCCAGTAATCGACTCGGGGAGGTCCCCAGATCACCGGTCATCGGGTCAATTGTTGAACCGGATAATTAATTTTAAAATTTTTAAAATTATATATATACAATATTTTGTCATATAAATATACATAAAGTAACAAAATTAAATATTTTGTATGTAAAATTTGTAGATTAGAGTGGTAATAATATGTATTTCATGATAAATATTTATCATATAAATATATATACATAGTTTTATTTATTAAAAACCAAAAAAAAAGTAAAAAAAAAAAAAAGAATATATAGGGACCGGGTCAACCGGGTTGACCCAGCCGGGTCAATGCCCGGGTTGACCTGGTCAAGACCGGGTTGGCCGGGTTTTGACCGAGTTTGACCGGTTCCTTTGTTGTCCAGTCCAATGCCCCACCCGGACCGGTTCCAGCTCCGGGTCGGCTGGGTCTCGGGTCGACCCGTCGGGCCGGTCCGGTTGAAAAACACTGATATTATTCATCGATCACTCTCCATCATCACTCTTCATATTATGTCATTACCCCGAACTTGTTATAATTCGAGTGGTATCTCTCACCCTTTATAAATAGTATTGTAGATACAAATTAATTAACTCGATCGAGTTAATTAAGTTGAAGTACGTTTTCGGTCGAAATTAGTTCGATATGTTGAGAAAATTGTAAAGAGATTATATATGAAATATATTTGTGTGGACGATGACTCTATTTTAAGTCGTGTCATCCGATGACTCCATAGCAAAATTGTATATATGAAATATAGAAACTAAAAATAATTAGGACCTGAGAGATTTGGGGAAACTTGGCAAAAGATGAGATTTTCTCCTATGGTTTGGGTTTGTGACCATGTAGAATCTATCAGCCCAATCAACTTTTTGGTCTTGAGAAACAATTATTGTTGGGCCATAGCCCTCAACTTCTCCAGCCCTTGTCTTATATTTCAACCTTTCTTCCAATGGGAGCTTATAAAATTCTTGCACTTCATTTTTCACTTTCTCAATCAATGAAGGCTCCACTCTATGATTCACCACCTGCAAATTAATTAAATCATATATTGTATATAATATTGTAAAATATTTTATATGAAAGGAGTGTGCATTAATTGCATGCAATTTTTATTTTTTCTTTAAAAAAAAAAAATTAACCTGAAATATGCCCCAGTCTTTGCATGCTGAGTGAAACTTTTCAAGATTGGAGCTCTTTTGGCTATCTTTATTAGCAAGCAACATTTTCAAGTCGAGAATAGGAATTTGTGCGAACGAATTCTGTTCGGGAGGAGATGAAATCGAGGGTTCTCGATGAACAAGATAAGGAGATGGGATCTCATGAATTGGGTTCTTAACCATTTCTTGAACACTACTCACTATAACTTCCATTTTTTTTTTTCTTTTTTGAGAAAGTAAAATGTTTGATGTATTGTTTAAGGGTGAGTTGTGATGAGAGGAGGAGTGAGTATATATAGACTGAAAAAGGCAAGTATGGGAGTTCAGTATGATCTGAAATTTTTAATTGGCAATTATAATTGTGAAGGATTTTAGTTGCATTTGAGGGTACCAACTACTAAAGAGGGACAAATATTTCAAATTTTATGACTTAAAATGTTTAAGTCATTGAATGTAACCTGATTTCAAGCTCTCACAACTCTCAAGCCACCTCTTTTTTCATTATAGTATTTTTTTTTTCTTTTTTTGGTACAAGGACCTTCCGTTTTCCGGATCCACAGGGGAACCGACTAATCTGGAATCGAGCCGGGTAGGACCACAAGGGCGGCAAAGCTCTCCCTCAAGAGTTTTAACACTGCTTCATTATAGTATCTTTAATTATTGTTTTAATTTTTTCTACCACTAAAAAAAATTTAAATATTCTGACGGTAATATATTCTAATTAAAATTTTAATGGTATAGTTGCTGTTGGAATGTTAGTTGGAATTTGATAATTCTGACGACTATTATTTCAATGATTTATTACCGTATGAATTTCTGTTGAAAAAAATAATAATTTTCAATTTCTTATATATTTTTGTTAATAAATACGATAAATTTATATGGCAGCAAATTGATGTCAAACAATTAAAAATGATAAATAATTTTGTCTTTCGGATATGGTTGACCATCTCTGCCTCGTTGTTCATAAATTTGTCCTGTTTTTGTTGTCAACTTTTGACAAAATAAAAAGACGGTGTCCTATTTACCGCTATCCAATATTCACTGTGATTTTTCCACGGTTAAAAAAAAATATATATACTTCATCTGTTCACAGTCGACAACAAAATTTAGCCGACTTAATGTAAGATTGGACACACACAAAATGCGCAATTTAAGGGCATTTGTTTACAAAAAAAATTTATTTCATGTTTAATCATACTTAAAATTTAATCTAACTTTAATTTAATGTCACTATCTTTTATATTATCAATATAATTAAATAATATCAATCAATAATCTTTACTTACTAAATCAACTTTAATTAAATATTCATTCACTCACATAATTTTAAGTAATCATCACTCCACATCATCTCTCTGTTACATTAAATCAACTTTAATTAATATCTTTCAAATATTATTTTAATATAAACTCAAATTAATACTAATTAAGCAAAGAATTCATTTTAAGAGGATATACTTATATCCAAACATGTCACTAATAACTTACTGCACCATTTTGCAAAATAAAAAAGGTATCATAATTTATTTTATTTTTTTTTTGGTACAAAGATGGAGGCCAATGGCCTAAGCTACGAAAGTAGAACTCGACGCGGTTGAGCTACTCCGCGGTAATCATAATCAATCCAAGCATCTAGACCTTGGGGCGGAGACGAAACTCTATGGAGGCCCAAAGGGTAGGAGTTCGCTAAGCTCGCCAGATGGTCAGCCGCAAAGTTGGCCTCCCGATGAATGTGCTGGATCAGAAAGGTATCATAATTTATAGGTGACATAATTTACACATAGAGAATAATTCCAGTTACCTAAAGGTAGATATGGCCAAAACACGGGCGAGCGTCTAGCCGGGCCCGGCCCGGCCCGACGAGCTGGCAGGCTCGGAATCATGGACCCAGAACCCGCACGGACCTAGGTCGTGCTGGGTTCATGGCCTGGCGGGCCTGGCCAGGGCCGATCCGGGTCTGGGCTTGTCCAAATAAAAAATAAATAAATAAATAAAAAATAAAAAACAAACAAAAACATGTGATTTTATTGGATTGGACCGGACTTGGCCCGGGCCACCAGGACAAGGTCAAAAAACAAGACCCTAGACCGGCTCAATTAAAATTCGAGCCGACATGCTTGACCGGGATGAGTCCGTGCCGAGCTGGCGGGTCGGGTGGCCCGTGGCCATTGTGTGGTTGGGGAAAATGGTGGGGAGGGGATAAAATTTTTCAATTTTTCTTGTTTGGTTCGTAAGTAGGAGACAGGAGGAAAAATTTTAAGCAAAGATCCCCCAATTCCACCAATTTTGCTTCCCTCCAACAGTGGGTGAATTTAGGAGAAAAATTTTTAAACATAAAATTATTCTTTTATACATATATGTGAATTATTTTATTTTTTGGTTTCATATCATTAAAGGTATAACTGTAATTTTTACAATATTTTGTTTCTACTTCATTTTTTCAAACAAAACAAGATTTATCATTTTATTTCATTTCTCTTTCTACAAAATCCCTTCAAACATGATAAAATTATTTTACCTCACTAAATAGGATTAGGAAGCTCAACACATAACTTAAAAAAAAAATCCTCACAATGGAAAAAAGTTTCTTGCATCATTTAGAAGCTGAGTCTTGGTCCATTTCAATCTTGAGATCCAAATCTTTTTTTTTTTTTTCAAACGATAAAATTTTATAGATAAACCACAAACATACAATTAAAATACAACCCAAAAGTCGAAAAGACAGCTTAAAATCCGAACTTAGTGAAAGGAAAGATCTAGAGAATCGCCTAGAACCAACACAAGAACAAACACACCCATGAACAATAGGAAAAAGCGAATAAACTCCACAACAGGAAAAAACTCCCCAACGGAAAAATAAACACTCTCCTACGAGAGATAAAACACAAAAACACAAAAGCTAAAAGCACTACAAACCACCAAAAAACACGAAACTAACAAAAAACACACCAAAACTACTATAAACTAACGCCCTCCTCACCAGTCAGTCAGGATCCCATCACCAACTAACTCAAGCAAACATCCAACCACAAAAATCGAGAGGAAGCCAACCAGACCGCAAAGTCGACAGCCCCCCAGATCTTCGAGAACCCACCCAAGGCACGGCCAGAGGAGGACCGTACCATCTCAACACCAAAGACGGTCGGAATAGAGGTACCAAGGCAAGACCATCGCCACAGACAGTCGCAAGGATGCCTGCAGCCACCGCCGAAACATGGCCGCCGACATTCCGTCTTTCCCCGCCCCCCATGGCACTCATATCAAGCGGAGACCACTACGGGACGGATAAGCACGAGCCCACCTCTGCCGCTCCGCCGAACTACAAAAAAAGATTTTAACATTTAAAATCTAGCTGGAAATAATGTGCACAACATAACATCACTTTATTTTTTTTTTTATTTTTTTATTTTTTAATTAGCACTGGTCCTAATAATGCCACGAATTAATCTTGCGTATGATCTGCTAATTAACTAATCTATTAATTAACTTCAGGCGTGCTCTGATTTTCTTTCTTTATAACACATTTACATAGTTTCTTTTTGTTTGTAACAATCATATTATTGAGTTGGATTACCACAAAGCATAAACAAAACAGAATCTTTTTCTTAAATTAATTTGCAGCTAATTAAATATGCTCATGTACTCAATTAATCTTCATATAATTCCATTTTTTTTTCTTGTGTAGTTTCCACACAGACAAAACACTAACCAGAAGAAGGAAAATAAAATGATTGAACTAAAAATGAGGACCTTTTTTTTCCACATTATAAATTTATAATAATTATCCAGTGGGAACTAAAGTAATATCAAGCCATATAATTAATTTGTTATGGTTAATAGATAAAGTAATTCAATTATGTTATCCCAAAATGAGGATAATGCTCTCTTACCCACGTTGGACACATGTTAATTTGTTAATTCGAAAATCTCAATTAACATAAAAGGACAAGTTATATTAATTAGCATATTATTAAACTTGATACATTATGTTGGTATATACTTTTTTGGTATAGGGACCTTCCGGTTTCCGGATCCACAAGGAAACCGATTAATCTGGAATCGAGTCGGGTAGGACCACAAGGGCGGCAAAGCTCTCCCTCAAAAGTTTTAACACTGCTGCATTTAATTAGCATATTATTAAACTTGATACATTATGTTGGTATATACTTTAATTCTACATAAAGTAATTATTAACTACACACTTATTGCAAAGACTTCCAATCGCGTTAGAAGATTCTGAAGGATGGAAATATTGTTTAAGTGTTTATTATCTCTTGTCAGATATTCTTTGGATTGAGTAAATAATTCATTTCTTAAATCTTGTATTGGTACCTTCAAGAAGTCAAACATATGTCCTTTTTTTTTTATTATTATTATTATTATTATTATTATTATTATTATTATTATTTTATTATTATTATTATTGAAATCAAAATGATTACAAGAAATTGGAGGGGAGCCGAGATACTATCTCGGCCCCCACTCCTTTAGCAATGGAAAAGCTAATACGAGTGAAAATATGAGGAGCGGCACGTGCTCCAGCATCCTGAGATACAGAATACTTCTGTATCCTCTTGAGTAGGGCGATGGCCTCCGTGTGCAACTCCCCCAATGAAGAGAAAGAGAATGGAAGAAATTCATAGCCCTTAGTTGCACACAAGGCGTCATATTTTGCCCGTTTGCGCTGAGCGGCATCAACCACAACACGTCCCGGAACGAAGTCAGACATCCCGAACTGGGTCAAGGGCGAGGAACCAGTCAAATCGACGCAAACGTCAAGTCCCCTATCCCATGAGTAAAGTAACAAGTCAGCAGGGCGAAGTGGTCTATCTTGCGCATCAAGGAGTCCAATATTATCTGTACAATATTATTATTATTATTATTATCTGTACATATATCTATATTTATATAATAAGTCATCTTATTTAATATATCTATATATATCTATAGAATAAGAATTACCATTTATAAAAAATGGCAGTTCAACTATTAGTCAAATTATCTCTGTCATTAATACGTTCCATTAATGGCAATTTGTATTTAAAAAAAAAATCTCACGGACAGCATTAAAATGGGATTGTTTCAGTTTTTAAAATTGTTTTTTTTTTTTTCTGATTTTCAGATTTTTTTTTTATATAGTTCAAAGAAATAAAATCTCTTATATGAAGGGATTTGTGTTGGATATTTGGTATCAAAATTACACGGGAATC